GGCTGGGGATTCGAGCCCGCCACCTTAGGTGTATGTGGCTGGCGCCTTAGCCGCTTGAGCCACAGGCGCCGAGCCTTGGGGTGCATTTTATTCCTGGTCATGCACCAAGGTATCAGACAGAAACTAGCCCTTGTGGAACCCAATCTGGTTATGTGGCCATTGTCTCCCTGACTCTCTACCTCCATGTCTGCACACCCACACACTACCTGTGTGTACCTGTGCACATACCTCCCACACATATACATGCTGAGGACCAAGCACACGCACGTGTCCATGCACACATGTACACAGCAGTTGTGCACACACTCATAACACCCAGGTACGCACACATACATAACTCCCACACTCCCAGCTATATGTTCTGGTTCACAGAGAGTTTGGTGGTTGGAGGCTCAGTGGGCAAGGCTACATGGAACACAAGGACCTGCCTAGTGTGGAAATGGCCTCAGGGTAGAGCCTGCCTGAGAGAAGAGGACCCTGGACTGAGGAGATGGGAGCCAGCGAGTGCCAAGGAAGACTTTACTCACTGCAGCAGCACGGCAAGAGGCTGAGGAGGCTGTAGCTCTCCCCTGTGTCCCCCATGGAAGGCACCAGTCAAGGGCCAGTGGGTCTGCTCAGATGTGTGGGTTGGGGATGTTCTCTGTGAGGGGTCCCCAAACCTAAGGCTCCTACTGTTTTATGGGAGGGGAGTGAAGGACCCAGAGGGGAAGGCCCTGAACACTGTCAAACCAGAGAAAAGTGCCTTCTACACCCCACCCGGAAGAACTCAGCCCCACAGGCCTGAGCCTTGATGCCTGACCCTGCCCGATCCTGCACCGGGGACAGCAGTGTCTCCCATGAGGCCTGCGAGACAGAGTCCTAGCAACTGCCCATGGTTGTGCCTGAAAAATCACAGGCAGGGCCTTGGTGTGGGCCTCTTCCTCAGCACTGAGCCTGTCCAGCCACCCTAGCTCCCCAACTGCATCGGGGGAGGAGGCAGTATGGAGTCCTAGGAGTGTAGCCCCTAACCCCTGTGCAGTATGGCCACACCCTGTCTTCCAGGGAGGCCCCCAAGCTTCAGAGTGCTCAGGGCTGGAGGTGCCATGGGGGAGGCCACTCAGGGAGCCCACAGAGGCCAGATGGGGATGGTGCTGGAGCCAATCCAAGGTCAGGTATCACTGGTCACTGAGAGGCAGGGTCACCCTGCCTGGGACACCAGTCTGTGTCTGGGTAGAGGAGGCAATGGACAGACTTGAACCTGGAGAAGGAGAAAGTGGGGTCAGGTCTGTGGGTAGGGCCCGGCAGCAGAGCTTCCACCACGTCCACTCACCGTGTGGGGTCCTGCTGCAGGCTAAAGACTCCGACCACGTTCACCACATTACGTGGGTTCTCAGGACCCCCGTAGCTCAAGGTGACCTGGAAGGTGATGAGGTCAAAGACAGGGGCTGCTCTGGTCTCAGTCCCAAAGCCTCTGTGCTGCCCCCCCCCCCGCCAAAAACCCCAGCTAGAGGGGCCCCAAGACCCATCCACTGTCTGTGTCCTCCAGGCCAGGCTATGGGAAAGAGCACTGAAGCGTGACTGAGCCAGAGGCGGAATCTGGAATCTCCTGCCCAAACCCATTTTTGTTTGTTTGTTTGTTTTTGAAACAGTCTCAAGCTGTTGCCCTGGGTAGAATGCCATGGTGTTACAGCGCTCAGCAACCTCAAACTCTTGGGCTTAAGCGATTCTCTTGCCTCAGCCTCCTAAGTAGCTGGGACTACAGGTGTCCACCACAATGCTCAGCTATTTTTTGTTGTAGTTGTCACTGTTGTTTTAACTAGGCCAGGCCGGCTTTGAAGTCGCCAGCCTTGGTATACATGTCTGGGGCCCTACCCACTGAGCGATGGGTGCTGAGCCTCTTGTTTGCTTCTTGAGGGCTGCTCCCAGTCTCCTGTCACCACCTGACCATGCCCACTGCACAGTGTCCCTGGGCTCTTACGTGAGATCTGCACTTCACACATCCATCTCCCACCCATGTGCCCTTCAGCAGATGTTCATCCTACACTTGAGACCTGCTATCTGGCAGGGGTAGGCACCCTCAAGGGTCCACTGCAGCCCTTTGCTAAGCTGGGCCCCAGGAGTAAGGCTAAGGTGAGCCATGCAGCAGGAACACAGCACCCATACCTGCTGGAGCACGGTGTCCTGTGGCAGCCCCTGCAGGTTCTCCAGGTGGGAGTGGAAGAGGGGGCTGTGCAGCAGGTGGGCCCCCAGTAGACCCTCCACGATGTAGCCCACTGTGCAGTCATCCGGTAGCCGAACCCGCTCAGCTGTGCTCATGAAGCTGCCCAGGCTGTGGGAGGGCAGCCAGTGCGTCCTCAGCTCTGGGGCTGCCCTGCTACTCCCTCCCTTTGACCCCTTTCCCCACTTACCTGGCCCAAGGACTCATCTTGAGCGCAAGACCTCTGCTGAGACAGAACCCAGCCCCACCAGTGGCAAACCAGAACTTGACTGTGGTGGCCTAGGAATAGGGAGCACAGGGGTAGGGCTGAAGTCAAGGCTGCCTAGGATGGGCTCCTCACTCTAATTCTTCACTGGGTCCCAAACATCTCCCTTAGGCAAAGACTCAGGAGGCCTTGCCCTGTGGCCCAGGACCTCTCCCCACCTGGCTCACCCCACTCCATGGTGGGCTCCTGGCCTCCTACCATAACATCACATCTGTGCTGCCTGGCGGTATCAGTGTGCATCCCCAGGTCCATACCCTTCCAGGCCTGGATTTCCAGGCTCTCAACTATACTTCCCAGCACTCACAGTTCTGCCTCCATGGACCCTCTCGGTGGCCTCAATGGGGTGGTCCAAGCTGGGGCGCCCCAGATAGATGTCTTGGCTGGGTGAGAAGGAAGAGAGCAGGTGCAGGAGACTTTCAGGGTTCACATAGTTGTCGTCGTCCACATGGCAGAACCATCTGTGGAGAGAAAAGAGCATGATGTAAAAAGGTGGGCTGGAGGTCCCCACCCCAGCTTAGCCTCCGGCTCTCTGAGGGGCACTGCAACACCCTGCGTACTTGCGTCCGGACTCAATGAACTTGTCGTACTCCACAGACATCTTGCAGCAAAGTGCCTGGCGGGTGCGCACAGCTGAGCAGTTGGTGTTGATGACACGGCCGCCTGCCGGTGGAAGAAAGGGAAAGGTGAGGAGCAAGGCTCACAGAGCGCCAGATGAGGTCCAGGACTAAATGTGGCTCTCTGGCCGCCTAGCTGCCAAGCCTGACCTGATCTCAGCCTCAGTTCAGCCTTCATTCAGGGACCACATTGGAAGTCTCTTAAATTGAAGCAGGTAACAACGCTTGTTACCTCAAATGGAATCAGGCAAAAGTGAGCTCCCTAGCCAGGCCTGGAGAAACAAATGCCTGCTGGATCAGGAGACGTTGCACTGGCCCCAGGCCCTACGAAGTTGCCCAGTGGGGGAGGCAGAGTTTGGGTGGCAGGGTGGATGCTGGCTGACCAGTGGGTGGGCAATGGGGCTTTATCCTCCACAGCGTGTGTGACCCTAGGCAAGTGCCTTCACCTCCATAGTCCTCCCCACACACGGCAGAGAATGACAGCCATCCCTGTAACACAGGAGTGTGATCCCAAGCACGCCGGAGACCTGTGGGCCTCTCCCCTGGGGCAGGAAGGTGCGGTGCACCCCAGGTGGGAGCTTCGTACCGCCGGGAGAAGGGCGGGGAGGTGCTCACCTTCCTGGAGCTCCAGCTCTGGGTCGTCCCCGTCAGTGAAGATGAATGTCTGCGGAGAATCGGCCAGAGAGGCATCAGGGGGCTGCCCAGGGCGACGCTGGGGAGCAGCCAGAGCCCTGCGCCCAGCGCCCCCTGGCTCCGCAGCCTGGGGACGGGGTGCCCGGCCGGGGCCTGCGCACCTGCCGGCGTGCCCGGGAGATCCAGGTGCGCAGCAGCAGCCGCAGGCGCGGCCCGTGGTTTTTCCGGGTGGTCTTGACCGCGATGAAGACGTCGTCCGGCCGCAGGCGGGGGAGGGCGGCGTGGTGGACCGGAGTAGCCCGCGGGGCCAGAGCGGGGGTCCGTGCCGGCGTAGGCGTGCGGGGCAGCGGCAGCAGCAGCAGCGCGGCCAGGGCCGCGGCCAGCGCGAGGCAGGCCCGGCATAGAGCCCCCCGCGCGCGGTTCATGCGACCGCGGCGACCCTCGGCGCCGC